ATTATCAAGGAGATTATCACAAGAAACAATCGCCTGATCTGGCGCATGGCAGGTATAGGAGGGAATTCCCGGACCTTTAAATTTTTCACAACACAGTTTGTAGGAGTCTCCGTACAAAGCTTTTTTTACTTTAATTTTTTGTAAGAGGGCCGACGTTTTCAAATCGTACGGTACCATAGTCTTCCTCAAATCAATTGTATCAATCGTAATACCCTTATCAAACCAACCGACAGTGTCTATTAGTGTAGAGCTTAGATTTAGGTAAATTATTGAGAAGTTTCTTTTGTTAGAAAATTTGAGAACATAGATTGTTGTGGACGACAAATCTATAGTTTCTATAAAAGGCGTTACCGTCATTTTAATATACATTTTGGACATATATGTGTGAGATAAATTTAAAACTTTTAGCGACTGAAAAAACAATGAAAAGTCATCATACATTTCTAAACCTATTTTGTTATAACTCAGATCTAATAAAAGTAGGTTGTATAAACTATTACTTATTGCATACAAAATTTCAGTCACTTTGTCGTTGTTCAGGTTACAATTAGATAAATGAATTTCTAAAATTCGATCCAACCTAATATATTGTGGAACTCGAGCTTGCATCAGATCAAGACCAGACATTCGCAGGATTTTCACATTCTTGTCAATCATATCAAATAAATCTGTGTAATTGACTTGAGTTTTTTCTGTGATTTTAGTGACACCCCAAAGACAGAAAAAACCAGTGGGACATTTTTCATGGCACATCACCTCGTCATCACAGCCGTGATCGCAGTCGCATATTCCATCACATATATTTCGACGTGTATAAAAAGATTTCTTTCTTGGATGGCGGCAGTAGAATTCAGCCACGCTTTTGGACATGTATTCGTCTTCGTTTGTTTTGCAGTCAAACTTAGAATCTTTAATCATTGCGTGGGGAATACAGTACTCTTGGCATTTATAGAAACCGGGGCCGCATTGGAACGATTCGCAGTTCTGTAAGTGCGAGCTATCCTTACAACCTAAATTGTTTTGTGATATTCGTCCTAAAAGAAAAATACATTTCGGTGCAAACTGTCGGTCCACTTTTCCTGCGGTACTTAAACTGCTCGAGTTGTTTTGGCTACAAATTGTTACGCGTTTATTTGAGTCGTTTCGAAACCAACATTCGTTGCCGTTGCAGTTTGTGTATTCCACATGCGGCAGAACTATCTTAGGTTTGCGTTTAAACGTGCTGTTGTCAAACGGAGGGTCAAACCACCATGTGGGTAAACACGCTCCGTCTGCTGTTAGAGTTTCAGTACAATCGTCACAATACGCTTCATCACTGTTATCGAGGCAGTCTTGTAGACCATCGCAGATCAGATCCGTTGTAAGGCAAATGTCTTCGTCTCTGTTCATCCAATTTGACGTCATGCAATTCGTAACCTGGCCGATACACTTCATTCCAAAGTTATTCGCACACCCCCTCTCATCTTCGTTAATTCTACAATCCATTATTCCGTCACAGAGAAAAGCATGAGGTATTCCAACAAAATGAAAAGTATCAGCATAATTAGCAGTCGGTGTGACAAAGGGACAACCAAAGATCTCCAAGTTTTCAAGCTCCTCGTTGCTAAAAAGATTTTCAATATTCCTGAAATATTTTTTAAATAGTATAATCAATAAAAAAAAAATTGTTTCTCTCTATTATACAGCAGTGGTGTAGGCAGGGCGGAGGGGTCAGGGGGTATCCCCCCTCCCCAAGATATATATATATATATATATATATATATATATATATATATATATATATATATATATATATATATATATATATATATGTATATATATGTATATATATATATATATATATATATATATATATATATATATATATATATATATATATATATGTATATATATATATATATATATATATATATATATATATATATATATATATATATATATATATATATATATATATATATATATATATATATATATGTATATATATATGTATATGTATATATATATATGTATGTATATATATATACATATATATATATATATATATATATATATATATATATATATATATATATATATATATATATATATATATATACATAGAGAAAAGACAAGCAATTTAAAAACTTTCACAATGAATCGAAAACGAAATATGACGTCATATTGTAGTAGAAAATAATCTCAAGCCGGAGAGTGCACACTGTAACATGACGTCATTGATTCTCGAGTAAACATTGAATAAAAAGGCAATTTTGTCTAATCTAAATAGTTTGCGTGAAGAGTTTCTTTCATACAATTCTTCGGGTATGGGCGAAGCCCCACCCCCGCGTAAGAACGTTTGAACCCCCCCCCCCCCTCCCCAACTCAAAAGAAATGTCGTCATCGATACTCTATAATAAAATTACAGCCTAATTAATGTGTCTAATCTAAAAAGTGATTTTCTTGCAATTTCTTTAATGCAATTCTTCGGGTAGTGGCTAAGCGCGACACCAGTGTTTCTTTCAGACTTTTTCCTCCCCGGAGGGGGGAACTTTTTCTAATCTAAAAAGTGTTTAGCGTGCAGCTTTTTTTTCAAGCATCTCTTCCGCCCAGATTCTTCCTTTAGTTTGTATGATCTACAAATGCGACCAGTGTTTCTTTCAGACTTTTTCCTCCCCGGAGAGGGGTGGGGTACTTGAAATTTTTGGGGTTGGGGGTAGAATTTTCTGGGAGGGGGCGGACACTGGAAAAAGTATATAATTATATTTCGTTGAATGGGACGGTAGACATGTTTTGGGGGGTGTGGGGGGGGGGGGGGGGCGGAGCCCCCTCCTCCCAAGTAGAGTTGCCTGAAAGAAACTAAATGCGACTTTTGTCATGAATGAGATTAGGTGTATGGTTGAGGGATATGCCTATGATTATATTTTGTATAAATTAAAGTACCGATTCTGGATAAAAATCCGTTTTCAATGTCATTGTTTGTTTCCGGTTAAATTGAATTAAGGTGGTGATTTTGGTTTTGGTTTTAGTTTAGAGAAAGTAGACAGCACTATCAACCTAGCGCCCGTTGTATCCTTCCTCATCGGGCAATTTTTCTCGTATATATATATTTACCTTACATCCCATGATACTCGATACGATTTACTGAAAGGTGATGAATTTGCTCTGGTTGCTCTTTTCCTGTTTGTAGTATGAAAAAAAAATGTCCTAGATTCATAAACAGAAGTTAATATTTATTTAGTTAATTTAAGTTAGGTATACTTCAGAGGCTGCGCTATGCATAACATTAGAAGTGAAAAGGCTATGTAATTATAATAAGCTTTTAAAACAAATCTTTAAAAATATGGCAAGCGATAAAATTATTGTTCCCTTTTTTACTTTCTCGTATATACGAAGTATAGAGAAAGTCTTGTAATCGTGCAAAAAAAAAAATCGAGATTTTTGCAAATCTCGACGTTTTGCATCTCACTGATACGGAAAAACATAATTTTGCAATCTTGTCCGTATGTCTGTGTGTCTGTGTGTGTGTGTGTCTGTGTGTGTGTGTGTCCGTGTGTAAACACGATAACTTGAGTACCGTTACAGCTAGGTTGATGAAATTTCATATATAAGTATTTTATCAAAATCATAGATCCGTATCAACTTTTGAGCGATTTCCGACAACCGGAAGTGGTACTTTTTCTACTTTGAATTTTTCAAAAGCCTATAACTTGAGTACTATTTCAGATAGATAAATGAAATTTGATATGTAAGTAAAAGATCTAATTCTCTACCTTCTGTCAAATTTTGAGAATTTTTCGTTGACCGGAAGTACTTATTTACGCTACTTCCGATTTCTCAAAAAACTAATGTAAATTTTAAAAGTACTAATAATATTGCGCACTATTATGCGCTTTTTTATTCGCGTTCACTTGGTGTGCAATTAATTTGTCTACGAGATTTTATTCTATTTTTAAAACTTTAAGTATTTAAAATGGATTAAAAATCATGTCTATAGCCCGAGTTCCCATCCCCTGTTATTTTATATAAGAATATTCGAGAAAGTTTAGGGGAGATCACTCCCGGTTTATTAAAAATTAAAGCCGTTTGGGAACCATCGATTACACTCATTTTTTTATTTTTTTTATTGGATTTAAGCAGTTGAAAAGCCGTTTAGAATTAACGTATCTATTCAAATATTAAAAAAAAAAACCCGTCCACAACGCTTAATTGAATTCTACTGGAGTTGCCAGATAAAATTAAACGGTGTACGTCGAAAAAATTGATTTCCATGATAAAACTTACTAGCGTTCAATGCGGTATAATCTAATTGTTCATTTATATTAAATAATATAACATTCCCTAAGACCATAACACCCGACTCTACTAATCCAAATTAAAAAATTACAGTGTTAGTTAAATTACTATTCTTTTACTAGTCATTTTTTCTGTGAATATTTCTAGCCATAGTTAAACATTTTGCACTTATTTCTCAAATGTCATACAATTATTCAAATCGTTTTGAAAAATATGCTTTCTGGCAGCAACCATTTGGAACCAGCTTTTCAAGCCTATTGAGCTGTTCACGTCTAACATTAGATAGTACGTTCTTTTTAGTACAATACAAATTGTGAAGCTTTTTTTGAGCATTTAACGTGCTGCTACCCCATTACATGTTTTGGATTTATTTTTTACATAATAAATTTACCGATTTGAATTAAAATAGAAACACAATAACAGTCTAATAAAGTTTTCGAATTATATATATATATATATATATATATATATATATATATATATATATATATATATATATATATATATGTATATTTATATATGCACGCATATAGGCTACTTACTCTGACGGAAGATGAATAGTTATCAGTAGCAAAGCTACTAAAATAAAACGTTTAGTTTTTACCATTTTAATCGTCAGACTCTGAAAAAAGTGACAAAAAAAAAATACATAAATTCACGTCTAAAATGACTTAAAAACATTAAATGGATTGATTGATGGATGGCTGGTTTGATGGAGTCATGGA